AGGGATTGAACTCAGATCCTTGGGTTTGTCAGTCAAGCGCTTATCCTACTGAGCCATCTCTCCAGCCCCTCTCCCATTGATTTTTATCACATTCTATATATTATGTGTTTTCTGTAAAGAGAAAATGTAAAAAAAAAATTTCCATTAGCATTGGATTTTTTTTCTCTCTTTAATACAACATTAAAAAGATAAGGTCAGGCTGGGGAGATAGCTCAGTGGCATAAGTACCTGCCTGGCAGGCACAAGGTCCTGAGCTCGATTCCCCAATGCCAACAATAGAAAAATAAAGAAAAAGGAAAGATTTGTGGCTATGTGTGGTGGTGTATGCCTATAATCCTAGTACTCTGGATGTCTGAGGCTGTAGGATCACAACTTTAAACTTACTATGCAAGTAGTGACTAATTGAGAATCTGTGGCCTTTCTTTTGTTTTCCTTTTCTTGTTTGCTTGCTTTGCTTGCTTTCTTTTTCTGGTACTAGGAGTCAAACTCAGGACCTTTACACTTTCCACTCAGGTGCTGTGGTGCTGAGCTACTATCCCTGGCCTACTAAGCAAGACTCTGTCACAAAATGAATTAAGAAAGGGCCAGGGTATAGCTCAGTGTGAAGGTCTTGGGTTCAACACTCAATCCTTCCTCCTACCTCCACACAAAGATTTATTTTTAAGACAGTATATTAAAGTACTTTATGGAGTCTAGATCAGTCCCTCAGAATCAATATAGGTCAGTTGAATTTTTTCATCATCCAACCTGAAATAAGCTTTTTTTTCTTTGAAAAGAAACTCAGTTTTAAGTTAAAAATTTTATTTCAGTATTACTTGCAGCTAAATACACTTGCATAATAAGGAGGTTCTTCAGCTAAGATATTTGATTTGCCTTGTGAGTGATGGGAAGAATTGAGAAATTTTTAAAATACGGAAAACACTTTACTTCATATTTACCACCAGAGGTCTCACTAGCTTTAGAAAATGTGTAGTTTTTCCGAGTATTTGGATCTTAAATTCTTTAAATACTTTAGTGTAATTAGTTTTAAGTTGCAACCCAGGCTTTGTTGTTGTTGTTAAGATATGGAGATTATATTTTGATTTGTTGTGTCACTTAACAGAAGACAGTAGGAAACTGGGACTTAAACTTTCATAGTTAATAAACCTGTAGGGGGTCTATAAAAGGTTTCTTTTTTTATTTTTTAAAGTTTATTATTTCTTGTTTTGTAATACTGGAAATCAAACTCAGCACCTAGCACTTGTCAAGCAGGCTGCTATCTCCCTGCCCCACTAAAAAAGTTTCTCTTGAACTTTAATTTTTTTCTTTCATGCAATATTGGGGGTTGGACCTCTAGGGCCTTTGTACCAAACCATGTCCACAGCCTTTTTTTTTTTTTTTTGGAGACAGAGACTAAGTTTCCCTGAGTGGCTCAAACTGGTTAGCCTCTTATCTCAAGTCTCCCCCAGTACTAGGGCTACAACAGTGCCTGGGTAATCCTTAATTCTTTAACTAGTTGAATAATACCCAAAGGGGAAGCTAGACATATGATTTTTGTTTTTGCTTGATACATATATTTATATGTTTATTTAGATAGTAAAATCAAGAGAACAATATAGGAGTCTTCTCAGGAGAAAATACTTTTCAGTGTTGTTGAAGGAAGAGGTAAAAAAAACCCAAAACTTTTCCATTAAGCACATTTACAGATTTGTAGTTGTTGAAATAACATGAATAGCACTAAGCTTTAAGAACAGTACAGTTGGGCCGGGGAGATGGCTCAGTGGGATAAGCGCTTCCCTGCCAAGCGCAAGGGCCTGAGTTCAATCCCCGGTTCCGCAAAAAAAAAAAAAAAAAAAAAAAAAAAAAAAAAAAAGAACAGTACAGTTAAGTATATTTGATACCCTAACTTAACTAATTTTCTTTAAAATGTATTAAGATTGGGTCTTGATTTAGTTGAAGAAAGACTCGTGGAATTGAGGAACTGGATAGGCAATTTCTGGCTGTTCTTGAATCTTCATCTAAATTGTCATTTTTGTTTCTTTAGTGTTTTTAGTCCCAGCTTCTCCTGACTTTGTTTTGTCAGAAGAATCATTGTAGTAACACACATCTGTAATACTACTGACTGAGGCACGAGGATCACTGTGAGTTCAAGGCCAGCCGAGGGTACATAGTGAGTTCAGGACAACTACATAAAGAAGCCCCGTCTCAAAAAACAAAACAAAGGGCCAGCCAATTAGCTCAGTGGATTAAAGCGCCTACAAGCAGGCACAGGGGCTGGGGGTTTGATTCTAGGACCTGCCCTGCTGGCTCCACCCCCAGGGCATGCTGAGACAGCAACAGAGACTGGGCATGGTGATGTGTGCCTGTAATCCCAGCACTTGGGAGGCTGTAAACAGGCAGATCACTATGAGTCCTATCTAGTAGTGAGATCCTGAGCACTCTGCAGACCCTTCCCTAAAATACAAAAAAAAAACCACCCACAAAAAGGACCACAGTTGCTTTGAGCAGAAAAAAACTATTTTGTCACCTTTGACATTAGTTTCTTATTAATTTTTATTAAATATTTCAGAGCAGACCTCATGTCATTTCCTTTCCTTTTTTTTTTTCCCTTTCCCTTTGTAATGTGCCTTCCCTAATTCCTTGTCTTTTCATCTAATTCTTGCATTATGTCTTTGTTACTTTTTTACTGCTAAGACAAAACGCCTGATAAAGTTTTGTTTTGTTTTGTTTTTTGTACGGGGGATTGAACTCAGGACCTTGCACTTGCCAGGCAGGTGCTTATGCCACGGAGCCATCCCCCCAACCCTGACATGCAAAGTTACAGGAGGAAAAGTCTTTTTCTCTTACAGTGTATGGAGGGTCCAGTACATAGCTGGCTGGCTCCAAGGCATGGTGGCATGGCAGAGGGGAATCACAGAGGAGAAACAGCTCACGGCAGGCAGAAGGCAGCAAGTGACAAGTTACCACAGTAACCCTCTTTTCCATTCATTATATTTTATCGAGGTTACCTGCCCTTAGGGTGGGGGGCACTCACATCCAGGGCCGGGCCCCCTTAATTCCATCCAGAGCTGTGCCAAACCAGTCAGTAAAGTGATTAGTAACCTCATACCTGTAATCCCATTGTCACACATTCAGGGTCCAGCCACCTCTGGGAAAGCCCCCCTATGACTGCGTGAGGCTCTGGGTGTACATCGACTCCAGGTCTACCAGTGAGGGATTTTAGTACTCTCCATGCTGGTAGCCTTGTCCTCTTCCAGTCTATCTAAATACCACAATGGAAAGACATGGCTGGAAATGTAGCTCCAGAATCAGTAATGGCTCCCTGAGACTTAATCATTCCAGACCTATTTTCTGGACTTTCTAAGCCTCTTTTACTGGGTCACTCCTATCTCTAGCAGCATTTCACTTTATGCTTCATCACACAGTTTGGTTAGTTTCTTCAGTACCCTTCATATGTCATCCTAGGCTCCTGGGTGCTCTTCTTATTGCTAGGAAAGTCTTCCTTTACCTGTTTGTCCTTTTTTTTTAAGCCCCAGTAAGTCCCATCATACTTTTTCCTTATAGTTTAAAATATTACTGTGGTTTTCTTAGCTCATATATGTGCTGCTGAATTAATTACATAGTGTGGCAGTGGGAGGTGTATAGCATAGTTGTTGAGGACAAGAAATCTGCAGCTAGCCAGCATGTGCTTGAGATTAAAATCTAAACTTTAGGTTACTTACTAGTGTGTGACCTTAGGCTAACCCTTTTGTATATCAGTTTCCTTATCAGTAAAATAGGGCTAATGCCTATTTTAATGCCACCTTATAGGGTTATTATGAGGATTAAGGATATAAAAACGTGGAGTAGTACTCATCAAAGTGTTTTTTAAGTGTTGGATATTTTATTTATTTATTTATTTTAAATTATTTATTTTTTAAATTATTTATTACATTTATTTATTGTGTGTGTGTGTGTGTGTGTGTGTGGCCAGCTCAGCCCACCAGGGGGCGGCGCTGGCTGGCATGTGGTGCTGGGGGATCGAACCGCAGTCCCTGTGCTTTGACAAGCCTGCTTTAGACCACCGAGCCATCTCTCCAGCCCCAAGTGTTGGGTATTTTAATCAGTACAGCCCAGCATTATTTATTCTCAGTGCCCCGGCTCCCATATAATCACCACTACTGTCCTGGACACCTCCTTTGTCACTGTGACAGAGTACCTAGCAGCACCTGCAACTTAGAGGTGGAGACGGTCTGGCTCATAGCTCCAGTCCCTTGTCAGCTGGCTCCAGCAGAAACTGTTAGTGGAAGGTCTGGCAGAGGAAAGCTGCTCCTGTGCTGGTGACCAAGGGGGGGGGGGAGCAGAGGAGGACACAGCCCTCCAGGCACCTCCCAGAGGCTGCCAGGCCCCTCCTCGCAGCAGGTCAACCTGAATGCACCAGTGGGCTATCCCCTCGTGAGCATAGTGCTTTTCCAAACACACAAGCTCCTGGGGACAGTCCACATCTAAGCCATAAGGAGTTGTAACTCTTCTGTGGCAGAGTATTACATTTTTGGTTCAGTCTCTCATCATTCATGCAGGTTACTCAGAAAAACTTGTTGACTAATTTGAGTTCTTTGTAGCCCATGGTTTTGTTGTTGTTGTGATTATTTTTAATTTTAGTAGTATATGTTTATAGTCTATAATGGTTGCACTCATTGTAGGGAGCTGGTACCTGTGCATAGCACTTAGACCACATGTCTATGTGGAAACTTACTTTAATAAGCTCTTTAGAAAGCTGAATGTGGTGGTACCTGTAATCCCAGTATTTGAGAGGCTGAGGCAGGACATTTGCCAAGAATTTGAGGTCAACCTGAACAACATAGGGAGACCTTATCTCTGGGGGGAAAACAACACCCCCTTCTCCAAGCAAACAGACCTCTTTTAGTGAGCTACTAAGGGAGCCATGTGGGAAGAGAGAGCAGCACCACAATGCTCTGTTTATCTTTCTGAGATCATAGGTATGATAATTCTTAAAAACTTCTATTTGCTGGGGGGGGTGGCCCATGCCTGTAATCCCAGCACTGGGAGGCAGAGGCAGGAGGATTGTTATGAGTTTGAGACAGCCTGGGCTGCAAAGTGAGCTCAGGGCCAGCCTGAGCTACACAAGGAGACCCTATCTCAAAAAGACAAGGAAAAGGAAAAAGAAAAACCTGTACATATGAAGTTACCTTTAAATCGAGACTGCTTTGAGGTAGAAAAAAATAGCAACAATACTCTCCTGGTGTTTAATGTGGAAGTAATTTTTTTGTTGTTGAGACAGTGTCTTGCTGTGTAGTTCAGACTGGCAGATGGCCTTGAACTCGCAGTGGTCCTCTTGCTTCAGCCTCCCAGCTGCTGAGATTACATGTGTGCATGTGGAAGTAACTGATATTTGCTTTAAAACAAACCACTTTTTGTTTATACTTAAAAGTTTAGCTTTTTCTTTTTTTTTTTTTGGCAGAACTGGGGATTGAACTCAGGCCCTTGCACTTGCCAAGCAAGCGCTTATTCTACTGAGCCATCTACCTGACCCCAAGTTTAGCTTTTAAGTATAAATAAATTTATAAATAAAAACTAAATTTTTATAGCAAATATTAATCTTTATGTGATTAATCTATCTTGTATATCAAACTTCCTTAACAAAAGAAAGTCTCTCTTTTCACAGGACTTCCTGACCCATTTGCGAAGGTGGTGGTTGATGGATCTGGACAGTGCCATTCTACAGATACTGTGAAGAATACGCTCGACCCAAAATGGAATCAGCATTATGACCTGTAGGTGTGAATTACAAATTTAATTAAACTTGTAGGTTTAATTATTAAAACACAGAATTGCTATTATTTGATGGAATTTCTGAAAAAAAAATCTCAGAAAATTATCTGAGTTTTATCTGTGATATAATTTGGTCTCCACAAAAGGGATACAGAACCCAGTGGAAAAGTGTTTTGGCATACTGATCCCTGGTTTTGGAAGGTAGTTCTAACAACAAAATTAAACTGTCTCACAGTATAGAACAGTCCTCCCTTTCCAGTGAAATAAAAGTTAGTTCACTTTAGGTAAGTTATTAGCATAAAACATAAGGATCAGCGTTCCTTCTGTGTAGATGGTTTCTTTCTTTCTATCTTAATCATAATAGTGTATGATATCTTTAATAGGTTTGACTTTATTCAGGTATTCTGTTTCTAGATATTTTATATCACCTCGATTGTTTTTTTGTTTTTAGTTTTAGGTATTTTAACATTTTTTACCTGAGAGGATAACTCAGCTTTTCAAATTAGTACCCCCACCTATCCCAGCCCCCAAATGCTCACTCATATGCCTTCTTTTCTCCTAGTCCTTCAGTATTGATGAAATTTAGTTAAAAGAAATTATTTAGTTAAATCATTATTCTATGGTGATGTGATTATGATGATGAAAGTATTCAGAGACAGATTGATTATGTGGCACACAGGAACTACTTTTTCTTTTTTGACAACTGTTGTTTCTCAAGGTAGCCGTGCCATGTGTTTGGCTTTCTGTGCATCTCATTAATTCCCAGCTCTCTTATGAGGCCTTATTTTCAGTTCTGTCTGGTATTCCAATGGCTTTTTCTTCTTGCAGACAGCTCTTCTAAAGTCTGTGTTTTCTTGCTTCAATTTGGCCTGATGGCTCTTGCTCTGTAGTCTTCCTGGGACTGCCTTTATCATTAGGTTAGGACTTTGTCTCTCAATGACAACTGCTATTAGTTCTTCTGCTCCTGCTTTTTTCTGTGAAGTTTATCTTCCATTGTTGTTTTGAGAAAGAGTAGAAAAATAGAAAACATTTTGAAATCTAAAACTGTGTTTTGTATCCTTACTTAACAGATAGTTTGTTTTTTTTTTTAAATTTATTTATTTATTTATGTGTGTGTGTGTGTGTGTGTGTGGCCAGCTCAGCCCACCAGGGGGCGGGTTTGGCTGGCATGTGGTGCTGGGGGATTGAACCGCAGTCCCTGTGTTTGCTAAGCTTGTTCTAAGTAGGTGCTTTAGACCACTGAGCCATCTCACCAGCCCCTTAACAGATAGTTTGAATAGAGATTTTAAGATGAAACATCACTTTCTTCCCAAGTTTTAAATGCATTGCTTTATTAACTTCTAGATCTATATAAGTAAGCATCAGTAGAAATGTAAGCTGGAGTGTTGGCACATGCTTGTAATTCCTGCACTCTGGGAGGCTTAGGGAGGCAGGAAGATCTAAAGTTTGAGGCAGCTTAGTAACTTATTGGGACTGTGTCTCAAAATAAAAGGTACAAAAGAGGCTAGAATGTAGTTCAGTGTGGAGATCCTGGGTTCAACTGCTAGTGCTGGAAAAAATCTGAGTCACAAGTTGGAGCATATCTTCAATTTTAAAATTTTCAGTTGCCATATTTTAAAAACATACAAAAGAAACAACTGAAATTAAGCATAATTTAGCTTATCTAAAATACTGTCATTTCAGCATATAACCTAAATAAGATATTGAATTATTTCATCATATACTAAGTCTTTGAAATCAGGATTATTTTATACTTAGAGCTTACTTCCATCTGGATGAGCCACATTGGAAATGCTTAATAGTTTGGTGTGGCTGATGGCTACCATTCTGGACAGTGCAGTGTTGTTGATGGCAGTTGTGTTCTTTCATGATTGCTTTCCAGTGTTTTATCTTTGCTTTTGCTCTCTCCTCCCCTTCCCCACCCCTCCTCTCCCCTCCCCTCCCCTCCCCTTCCCCCTCCCCTCTTCCCTTCCCTCCCCTCCCTTCTTCGTACCAGGAATTGAACTCAGGACCTTGTGCCTGCTAGTACTGCTGAGCTACACCCCTGACCCAGTGATTGTTTTCCAGATGGACCATTTTAGGATATTTTCTTTATTCCTCTCTAGCTAAATCTTATTTTTCTTCTAAGAATTATAACCATCTTAGTAGTTATGAATTGGTACCTCACTGTGGTTTTGATGTCTATTACTCTAATAACTAATGATCTTGAACACTTTTCATGAGTTTATTAGGTTTTATGTTATAGTTAATATTAATAGATTTTTTTTTTCTCTTTTTTTCCAAGGTGGTAGAGAAATGCTCAGGGAGATACTGTTTATTTATTTATTTATTTTTTTGTTGCTCGAATGCCTTCAGGGCACTTTTGGCCAGCGGGAGAGGAGTGAGGTTCGAACTCCAGCAACCTGAGGCTGACAGTTTTGTGGAAGCAGCCACTTAAAGGCCTGAGCTAGGGCCAGGCCCCCGATACTGTTTATTATAATAAATAAATAAATAAATAAATACAATTTATTTAAGAAAGGGTCTCACCTTGTAGGTTAGACCAGCATTGAATTTACTATGTAGCCCAGGCTGACCCTGTATTCTTGGCAGCCTTCCTGCCTCAGCCTTCCAAATGCTGGGATCATAGGCATTCAGCCCCTTGTTTGGCTATATGTATTACATTTTTTTCTGTGTGATAATACTGTATTCTTATGTAGAGGTAGCCCATGTGATGCAACATCCTGAAGCTTGTTTAAAAATCATATTTGCAGATAAAATAGAGGGTTTTTATTTAACTTTCAATTTTAAAAAAAATTACACCTTTTTGTATTAATTGGGATATGTGTTGTGTTATATAACATTTCCTTAAAATGATGGAAATACTTCTCTAGGTGTAAGCAGTGATATTTCTGATTAATTCCTAGCCCAAGAGTATTTGTACAGAACGTGTGTGACCTGCGCACTTAAGTGCTGCTGCACAGTTAATTCCTAGTAATCCTTAAGTTACATCCAGAAGGTCTGTGATCAGCAGGTGGTTAGTGCAGTTGAAGACAGAATGTTCCCACCTCTCCACACCGCTGCACACATAACACCTGGTGGCGTACTGCAGGAAACAAATGGGGCTGTGGAGCCAGGGGTGGGCCACCCTGCCCTGCCCTTGGGGGAATCACTTTTCCAGTGTGTCTACAAACCAGGCATATTAGTGGGGAAACAGATTTAGTGTGATGTGCAGGTACTACTCATTTAGCGACTCTTTGGGTTTAGACCAAGGTATGCTGTCCAGCACTCGATCTTATGACCCTTCTTTTTTTCCTGTATAGTTCTGTACATTTTGTTTATAGAGCCTCAAGATCTTTTTTTCTACATTGTACCTTGTTCATACACTATTGTGATTTTTGCTGATTGTACTGTGTATTGTAGTTTTCTGTCATGTCCTATGTGACAGCACTGCATGTAAGAGTTACGGAGATGAAAGCAAAGTCATCAAATGGGAGTTTCCTTTGACTCTGTTTTCAACATTGTACATATTTTGTACAATTCCTCATTTAGTGACCAATGACAGCAGCAGAACCACTTAGTTGTTAAACAAGGAGTGTCTGTATTTGTTTTTTTAATGTTTGATTTGGAGCGGTTTGCCTGTTTACTACTTGATCCTAGTTCTGGAATTAATAGTGTGTAGTAGTTACATACCAAGGTACATCTGGTAGGGTGTGATTGGAAATTGGTGTATATATTCTGAATGATACTTTAACTCAAATCTTTTTATTTGTAAGCAACAGAGACCAAATTCAAAATAGCTTAAAGAATTAATAAAGGAATGTATCAACTTACATAACTAAAAGCTCAAAGGTAGCCATTCTGTAGGTGCAGGTGGATCCACGGACTCTTGTGCCCCTTCCATGATCTTTGTTTAACAGTTTTAGCCTTCACGTAAGAAGCTTAGGCTTTACATATATTAGGTGAATTTTTCTGTTATTTCTCTTTTGTTGAATGATACTTTTAAGATCAAGGTTGCTGGACCAAAAATTTGACCTCTTAGAGTCATAGAAATAGAGTTAGGTTCCCCGACACATTATGGTCCATACGTTTACCCATGGGTCAATGCCACGCTAACATCAAAGGCATGTGCACAGACAAGTACAGTAACGCTTTCCCCTGCTCTGCTTGTCTGCAGGCAGTGAAGTGAAATCTACAAGAGTCCTGCTCGCTCAAGGCCTGCATGCAGGAAAGAAGCAGGGGAAAAGCGTTACAAACAGCTTTTGTTCTACAGCATTAAAAAATATAACAGGTAGGTCAGATTTTTGGTCTGTCAGCCTTGACAACACCCCCTGCAAGTGAACTCAGTCTTCTCTGAAGGAGAGGTCATGTCATACTAATTTAGGTACTATGGTACTTAAATTGTGGCCATAATAAGCGTTCTTTTAGGATTTTTGTTCTTGAAAAGAAGTAATGATTATAAACTCCCTTAGTGCTACTAGATACTAGCTACAGAAAAAGCTTTTTTTACTAACAAGAATTTTTGCCCAGCTTGAGATATTAAAAATCATTTTTAAGGTATTTTTAAACTTATAAAAAATTAAGTTCAGACATGTGGATTGACTGAACTCAAAATATATTTTGCATATTCTAGCTATATTCTGAAAAATATTTGTGACTTTAGAATATATAAAAAGAAAAATTTTAGACTACTTTGAGTTATTCATGTAGCTCTTTTGGTTTTTAGGTATATTGGAAAATCTGATTCAGTTACAATCAGTGTGTGGAATCACAAGAAAATCCATAAGAAGCAAGGTGCTGGGTTTCTTGGTTGTGTCCGTCTTCTTTCCAATGCCATCAACCGCCTCAAAGACACTGGTTGTGAGTAGATGCTAGAGCTTTTGGATTAAAAAAAAACAAAACAAAACACACATTGTCTTGTTAATATCATGTTATTTTAATTGTTATCAAGATTTTTATTTATATCATAGGGGTCCAGAAATTTCCTATATATGTCTTAAATATTGGTTAAATTCCTGGTCTATATTTATTTTGTACCCAGTTTTGTTTTGAGATGGGGTCTTGAGCTGTGCAGTCCAGGCTGGCCTCAAAGGGTGATCTTCCTGTTTCAGCCTCCTGGTGCTGGGGTTACGGGCGTGAGCTACTACACCTGCAATTGTGTACACTTCTTAAAGGTGTAACATTTTATGTATGTGGGCTTAGAATTAATAATAAGGGGGCTGGGAAGATAGCTTAGTAGAATAAACGCTTGCCTGGCAAGCACAGGATCCTGAGTTCAATCCCCAGTACCTCAAAAAAAAAGCACTTATTTAAAAAAAATTAATAATAAATATTAAGAAGTGATTGATATCCAGAAGGTTGAGAAGAAAAGTGTCCAAGTAAACATGTGTTTTAAATTTGTCAGTAACAGCCTCTGTTCTGCTGCATCTGTGAGATGGCAATATGTCTTCATGTAGGGGATTGGGATGTTGGAGGTGTCAATTAAAGAAGAAATATTAGTTAAAGAATGGTAAAACACGGGGTTCAGGGGGATGGCTCAGTGGAATAAGTGTTTACCTGGCAAGTACAAGGACCTGAATTTGTCCCTGGTAACACCAAAAAAAAAAAAAAAAAGAAGAATGGTAAAATACTACTGTAACAAAACTAGAAATTAATCGTGAGATAGTTATATCAACTACTGAATATTCAGTTCAGTTTTTCATTGACCTGGGCCTTTAGAAGATGGACCAAGATCAAGACATTCATAGTGCCAGGGAGATAACTCAGCAGAATAAGTGCTTGCCTGGCAAGTGCAGCATCCTGAGTTCAATCCCTGGTACAGCAAAAAAAAAAAAAAAAAAAGGAAGAAAGAAAAAGAAAAAAACACATTCATAGTGATTTCCACAATGGATTAACAAACTGACTTAACGTCTATGTGATTCATGTAACCAAGTGGCAGAGTCCTTTTGGGTGTCTTTCCACTGAAAAGTCCATAGATGGATAATTTTTTTTGTACCCAATTTGTGTGCATAGTTGGGGGGTTGGAATGATTAGATAAAAGTAGTAAGAATGATAACTAACATTTGTTGAACATTTACATGGGAGGCACCATGTTGAAAGTCTTATGTTATAGTATTATCAGATTCAATCCTTGAAAAATGCAAGATAGTTTCTGTGGTTACATGTGACAGAACTGAGGCTGACGTATAAATTGCTTTAACACAAATAATTAGGAGGCAAGGCAAGAGTTAGATGGCAGTGGTCTGCCTTTTGGCAATATCACGTACTGATGTGGCATGCTGTTTGAAATCTGAATTTATCAGAACTTGAAATAGTTAAATGCTAATTTATATGAGGTTAGAGAATTTTAAACATTTGTGTTATGATTCTTTATAGATATGATTTGTAATAGATGAAAATTTACTTTTAGTAATAGATGTCAAAATTTCTGATACCAGCTAATTTTTAAATTTTTTGTTTTTTGTTGGTTTGAAATAGATCAGCGGTTGGATCTGTGCAAACTTGGGCCAAATGACAATGATACAGTTAGAGGACAAATAGTAGGTAAGTGTGAAATTTAAAAATCAGTGAATTTTGGCCTCATTCAGACTGACCTATAATTTAAGTACCTTTTAAATCAAAATATAACAACTACAGCTACATTCGCATAAGTTAAATATGAGTCAATATGCCATAAACAGTGGATCTAGGATACAGGTTAACTTAATTGAAAAAAACCCTTAATATGTATAAAAAAAATAGCATCTCCAAGTAAGAATTGTTGATCCTTCAGGAAAGAACCCTTTCAGAATACTCAAATACAGTACAGCACCTAGATTGTGTAGATGGTATTAAAGTTTTCTGAAGATAATCCGCAAGCTAGTTCTTGAATAAAAATATTCTATTGAACTTTCTATTCAATTTTGAATACCTCATAGTCTTAAAAAAATCTATACTAATTGAAAAAAGGAGCAATAGTAGTACAAGACTTAACTGGAAAAAGGGAGAACTTGTTAGCTTACTTATACGGTGCTCAGTGGAAAGGGACTGAGAGACTATCTTGAATTGACAGAGCACAGGGCTTGATATAAAAATTTCTTGAGACTTTTCTTAAAAACTAATGGATTGGGCCAGGGATATAGCTCAGCGGTGCAGTGCCTGCCTAGCAAGTGCGAGGCCTAGAGTTCGATTGCCGGTACCAAAAAAGAAAATAGTGAAAAAAAAAAACAACCTGATAGGTTGAGATTTGGCTGTGATGCATAGTGTGGTAGGACACAGAGGAAGGCACCTTGAGGGCTTCAAGAATAAACATTCAGGACTGGGAGCGTAGCTCAGTGGCACAAGTGCCTGCTTGGCAAGCGCAAGGTCCTGAGCTCAATTTCTAGTACAAAAAAAAAAAGAAAGAAAATTCAATTGGAATCTTACCTTGTAATAGAACAGAATTAAGACTAAAATAATTTCATTATGAATAGCTCAGAGTTTTAGTTCCCAAAGGTACCTGAAGAACTACGTTTCTTACAAGGAAAGAATTGGATTCATGGTGTGGTAACTGGCAGAATAGCTACTTAGTAAAGCCCTATTTTTGTCATCCCTGGAAAGCATCTGTGGGGCAGAGTTACTGGTAATTCTTACCATTCTTGGAGTGAGAAGGACACAACGTCCTAAAAATAAATCATGGCATGCAGGCTCTTTACATGTAGTTGCTTCTGTTGTAGTTGATTTTGTGCATTATATAATTCTTGCAAGTGATATCTGGTGTTAACAAAATACTTCTCTTAGGTGTAAACTCTTGTGTTAACAAAATACTTCTCTTAGGTGTAAACTCTTAATAATAAGCTATTAGACATTAGAAGTGTATTTACTAGAGTATACTACATCAAATGCAAGTGTTTTACTTTTAGATATGTGCGTGTATATTTAATTTAAAGCCTACGTGTGAACGTGGGACTCATAATAGGATAATTACTGAGTGAGAGGAACAAAGCTAGTAAGAAAATAGGGTGTTTCACTGATTCTTTACTTTTTTGTATACAAATACTGTTTTTCAAGTAGTTCTCCTAAAACATTGTTTACGTCCACCAAATTCAACCTAAACTCAAATCTTGTCATGTAGTTTTGTCATTCCAGGACAGAATGAGTTCAGTTCTTAGAGAATTGGGCCTCTGTAAATAATTGTAAATAGATGTACAAAGTATCTTTTTTGGAAATTGAAGAAAACATTAGAATACTAAGAAATACCACTTTCTAATATTTCTATATCCGTATCTGTTTCTATTATTCTAATTATAGTGACCATAAACTTTATTTTTCTTTCACTTATTGATAATTAATGATGTATTATGTAACTTAATCATTGAAATTTTGTTTTTGTTAAAACATAGAAAGTTCTAAGCATTTTTATGCACTTTGCTTTTATCTTTTTAAAGAATTGTCACTTTAAAGATATCTTTTCCAAACAGATGCATGATTCCAGGATACGGGCCCTTCCCTTGTATTTAAAAAACTATTGAGCTCTTTTTGCTTTTGTGAAGTTTTTCTTATGCTCTTTGCTTTAATGAAGTCTAATTGTAGACAGAGAACCTAAAGCATTCTCACAATGTATCATCATAATCATCTTTATGTATATATTTGCTATGTAATTTAAAAAATGATATTATACCATGCAAAGTTTTAATAGCCTGTTTTAATCTGTCATGTCTTCTTTTTGCACGGTTATATTTTTATAGCATTTTTAATGTTGTAGGGTATGATAATTTCACCAATCTTTTGTTGGATATTTAGTTAATGTTTACATATTCTGAACAGTGTGGCTCTAGTAAAGATTTCTACAGTTCATTTTACATACTAGAATTAGATCATGTGGAACACGTAAAAATTGTTTGGGTGTTTTATAGTACAGGAAACCCATGGAATTCTTTAGCTTTGAACCTTAATACTATTCCAGACAAAGCTAGTAAGAAAATAGAGTGTTTCACTATGATTCTATTTCAGTAAACATTTCACTTCTTTTCTATAAAAAACCTGACTTTTCAAGTAGTTTTCCTAAAACATGTTTACATCCACCAGGGTATGCTATAGTATTCTCTCCTATAACTGAAAATAATAGAACAGTGCTATGAAACCATTCATTGAATGAGAGGTCCTCAGATGTCATACTTTGCAACACACTTTTTATGTGGTAATTTAGTAATTCTTTAAGAAGCTAGAGTAGTGGTGTAGCCTGTAATCCCAGCACTCTGGATTTCAAGTTTGAGCCCAGCAGCACTGGCAATTTATTGAGAGCCTGTCTGTAACAGCAACAACAACAAAAATGCTGGGAATGTAACTCAGTGCAGAGTCCTTGGAGTCAGTCCTCTGTGCTGGGGAAAAGAAAGTATACTCAGTTTGGGCATTTAGCAGTATTTCTTCCAACTTTTGGAAGAGTTGCCAAAAATAGAATTAAGGAAGATTAGAGCGGCCAGGAAGGACTTAAGGGAGATCACTTAACACGACTTCCTCATTACTCAGTTGGGATTGTCAGCCTTAAGAATGTTAAATGTTTTGTTCAGTATTACACGTCTAATCTAGTTTGCAGAGTCAACTCTATAGTTCGTATCTCCTGTTTATAATGGTAATTTACACTACTCCTAGAACTCATAGAATCCAAGGATCACCCTATTTGCAGAATCCAGTGTAGTTTTTAAATACAATGAGATTACCCACAATTAAAATTTGTGCTCACTTCAGCAGCACATATGCTCAAATTGGAATGACACAGAAAAGCTTAGCATGGCCTTGTGCAAGCCGACACGTAAATTTACAAACCATTCCATATTTTTTTGAGTCATTTATAGGAAAATAGATATACCTTGAGACCAAAGTGTTAAGTGAAATAAATCAGACACACAAGTTTAAAAACACAGATAAAAGAGGAAAGTAAAACCTACGTAATAGGAATAGGGAGATAGATCTTATGCAAATGGGAGGGATAAAGAGATGAGGGAAGGGGAAGGAGAAGAAAAAAGAATTAAGATACGCCTGTGCATGTACCAGTTCCACATGAAGAATATAGTCATTATGGACTGCAAACAGGTACTAATAAAAATAAAAACTAAAAGGAAAAAAGTAAATGTAAATTTTTCAAACTTGTCTGTACATGAATCTATATCCTTAATGTGGTAATCTCACTTTTTTTAAATGTATTTGGTACAGGGTCTCACTACGCAACTTGGACTTGTAGTGATTCTCCTGTTTTCCTTCTCTCCAGCACTGGGATTACTATGTGTGCACCACCATGCCTGGTCTTGAGGATCGAACCCTGGTCCCTGCACTTGGCTAAGCAGGTGCTTCGTCTGCTGAGCTATCTTGTTGGCCCTTAATCTCACTTCTTGAGTACACTAGCAACCTTTCATTGCCCTATTATGAGGGTGAAAAAAAAAGTAGGCTTTGTTCTGTGAACATGAAATTAGAGAAAACCTAAGATTCTGGTATTACTCCCAAAGGAAAAAAAGATCTATGGGAAAAAAAACCTATAGACTTTATTAGAAACCAACAATTCATTCTAAACTATTAAAATAAACCAGATACCTTCTAAAAATAGATATTTTAGGTTGTAATAGTTCTTTTTCAGTTCTGTGAATTTTAGTAATGTTTCTGTTGTTTAATAGTAAGTCTTCAATCCAGAGACCGAATAGGCACAGGAGGACAAGTCGTGGACTGCAGTCGTTTGTTTGATAACGATTTACCAGACGGGTAAGCTAGCATCACTAAAGTCATTGGAGAAATATATAGACAATAGTCTTTACATAGTAAAAATAAATTGGTGTTTATTATATATGTTAGAAATTTGCTATGATCAATTGTAGAATGTAGGTTTTCTTTCTACTTATAGTTAGAAGAATTGCATCATTATACATTTATAAAATGAGCCATGAATTTTGTGTGTTAAACTTGAATTTTTAAGAGCTTTGACCACAAAAAAGATTTGGCAAGGAAGCAAATGAAATTTCTTGCCAAATATAATTGTTCTCTGAATACTGTCTGTTTAAAAGAAAAACTTTTTCCCTGAATTTAAACATTCTGTTTAGAGAGATGGGAAAGAGAATTTGGGTAGTAGTATTTATATTTATTGAACACATATGTGTCAGATACTACTGTAAGTCCTTTCTATACATTGTATCGTTTAATTTTCGTGGTATCTTAGATGGTAATATAAGCATACAACTCTGGAATTTGGCCTCCTGAATACCAACCCTTACTCTTCTGTTTACTGGCTTTATGACATTAATTTATTTAACTTTTGAAGCTTTAGTTTACATTTTGAAAGGAATGGTAGGAATCTATACCCTATCAGTTATTGAGAAGATTTAATTAAATCATTTACATAAAGCACTTTAATGTCTTGCACATGGTGTTTAATAATTACTATCGTTTTTTGTTGTTACTGCTGTAGTTGCTGTCACTCACTTTACAGATTAAAAAACTGGGACTTGAGTAAAGTAACTTTACTGAGCGTATATTGTAAGTGGCATGGCTTGAGCACAGACCTAACTGGTGATTCTGAAGCTTTATCACTAGTCTCTATCTTTGATACTAATTCTGACACTTACTTTATTTTTGCCTCAGTCTCCTAATTAGGTACAAACATGGGCTACCACACCAGCTTGACAGCTGTAGTTGTAATTAGGAATATCACACCTTAGTAGATTTTTTTTCCTTTTTTTGTAACAGGAATAATGGAAACTTACAACTTGTGCTTGCCAGGCCAACGCTGTGCAACTGAACTATATCCCCGCCCTCCTTACTTGATTTTTAATTTTTTAAAATTTGTTTGTTTATTTGTTTATTTGATGCAGTGTCTTGCTATGCAGCTCAGACTTACAGAGATCCTCCTGTCTCAGCCTCCCTGGTGCTGAGATTATGGGCGTGCTCCACCACACCCTGCTTTAAGGTGGCCAGCGCAGCAGCGCAGCATGTGTTATCAGGCATGGAACCCGGGTCCTTGTGCTTGCCAGGCAGGCGCTTAGACTGCTAAAAGTAATTTCAGTTCAGTGAGATATAATTTACATATAGTAAATGAATCTGTTTAAAGTA